AAATCGGGCAGGTACGGGAGCGTTACAACACACATATTGGCTCAATCCTGCGAGGTGCTCAGCACTGCTTTGGCCCAGCCAAGCACTTAAAGTGCGTGCTTCCTTTAATGGTGTGAGTGCTGGGAGCTCACGGGGACTTTTTTTGTATTTGCTGGGCCAGAGCTGAAGTTTTCAGCAACTGCAGGATGTGGTTCTGCATCTCAGATGGGGGAACGCTTCTCAAGCATGCAGCAACAGTATTCTGCTCCTTGAGGTCCCTTCCAACCTGGTTTTCTACGATTCTGTGACACTTTTGCTGGATATAGCTGCTAGGTTGCGGATGCCAGAAGGGCAGATGTGTTCAAAGAGCTGTCGGACAAGCCCAGAAGAAACACTGAAATGCAAAGCTGTAACTGCTGGTTGAGCTGCAGCTCCAAGGAAGCCTCAGCAGCAGCTTGAACTGCTCTCCCCAGCGTCCCCTGCACTTGTCACTGGTCACTGGCAGAGATGGAGGTACCAAGCCAGAGGGGACTGACCCGGCCTGGCTGCTCTTAAGTGCTGAGATGTACCAAGCTATAGGGGGGAAGGGGCCAGGCACGGGGCAGGCTCCCCTGCCACCAGCCTCGGCTCCCATCGGGAGCACCGCCACGTGTGGGTGGGCTCCCGCTTTCATTCCAGCTTGTTTTAGTTTGTAGAAAAGGATTGTTCAAAACCTATTTGTTGCTGGTTTATCTGCTACATCCACGTGCAGAGCCAGCGACGGCAAAGGACAAGCACAGGCATCCAGAGGGGTCTCAATACTGAGGTCTTAAAGGCCCACAAAGCTAAGCCACTCTTGTTACAAAATACCTTGTCTCAGGGGTTTTGTGAAATCAGGGTCACCAGGAATGAGGGATACCATTTAAACACAAAATGGGTGGACATTGTGTTTAAGTGTTTTACATCTTGGTTACACTGAGGCAGCAGCTTTGTCAATAAACTGAGCCAGCTTCACATCTCTCTTGGTCAGTCCGCCGCAGTCGTGGGAAATCAGAGTTATTTGAACCTGTCAAAAAAAAGGAAAAGAAAGGGGTTACAAAGGCATTTTGATCTCTGCCATGTAGGCTGAGCAGCAGTTCATCGGGAATGCTGCGTGTCTGCGTAGTGAACGGGTTTGACACGATGCTCCCGGCAAGCAGCGAGCTGGACGCTCCCTGCTCACGTAAACGTTGTAGGTGAGGAGGCTGAACAGGGCCTGAAGTCTCACCAAAGCGAGCCCCCTCGCAGAACCAAACGGGCTTTGCATTCTTGGGTTGCATCCAAGACGAGGTGTCTGATTAAATAACTCGCTCTTTACACTTAAATTCCACGGATCGGTTTCATGAAGAACCTGGGCCAGTGCCCAAGCTGCCAGCAGCCGAGTCAGGGGCTCACGCGTTTTGTTAAAAACCAGCACCCTGAAGGTGAAAAAATTGTTAAGCTGGCTGCAGATTAATTTCAAAAAGAAAAACAAACGGACTGGTGCATTTTGCTATGACGCAGCTGCCTGCATGGGTTTGTTTAGACTAAGCCAGATGACAAGCTGGGCGTTACTTTGTCTCGCCTTTGACTGAGATTTTTGGGAAGAGAGGAGAGGAAAGAAAAAAAAAAAAAAGATAAATTCCGAATCTTCTGGAAAGCAAAGAAAATCATGAAGAGTAGGTGACCAGGACTTTGTCCAGTGATCATTCAGTGTCTCTTTAAACAGGGTGACCTGAAGGGCTGATGAGGAGGAGCCTGTGCTGGGATGCCTCTGCGAGGGGGGAGAGGTGGGGATGTCCTGCCCTGGGGGTGGGGGTTCTTTTCAGCATATTTTTAGCGGGATTGCCATATATTTGCCAAATGCTAAAACAAACATTTCGATATGATGCAGTGAGAAGCATTAGAAAATAAAAACAAAGGGGGAGCAACAATTTCCCCCTTCACACAGCACCTTTCTTTCAAGGGCTGTAGTATTCTTGTGACCCTTGTAAATACAAGACCACCATCAGTTAGGGAATATTATAAACCAATTTTATAAGCTGCTATGTTGAGACATAGGAGCCTAGAATTTTTTAAAAATCAAACCTAAATTGAGACTGCCAGGCTCCTATTTAGGTACCTACACATTGATGGTCTGCTACCCTACACCGCTGGGCTCCCGATTATTTGCACAGAAAGGAACGAGAGCTGGTGAGCAGTTTCAAAACAGTCATTTATTCAGGCTGGCCAATCAAGAGTTTAAAGGCTTCTATTTTATTTTTAGATCTCAGCCAGAGAGGTTAAGCAACAGGACCAAACCATGCAGCTGGTAGCAAACAATTGCAAAGAGCTTGATTCCTGGGGCCATAACACCACCACAAATATCTCAATATGTCTTTGAAATCACAAAAACCTTCATAAATACAGAACCTCTTTGCATTCCCCTACCTCTTCCCTGTATGTAAGCTATAAAAAAAAGGCAGAGAAGATGGTCCAGGGGTTTGGTCTCCTTAACTTGCCAAGGCTGTAACTAGGGCTGATGAACACGTTACCTTGCTGTAGACATTAAACCATTCCGGGTGGTGATTCATCTTCTCTGCTTGTAGAGCCACACGTGTCATAAATCCGAAGGCCTAAGGAGAGAAAGAGCAAAGAGGAAAATACTCCTCCACCTGCCACGACTGGCAGCAGATCTGCAAGATTCACTCCAAAACCTCAAAAACTCCTAGAGGTGCTCCAGATTGCTGCACCTCGGGCTGGTGTGGGTTGAAGGAGCATTGCACCTTCTCATGCCACCCATGCATTGCCTGAGACTGCTGAAATCATCCCCTTCAGACCCTGGTAAAGCACTGCTCGGTGTTACTTGCTCCAGGACTCAAAGCTGTTGCGCAAGGGCAATGATTTCATCTTTGGCATCCAACAGGGATTTTAAAGATCCATCCCAAACCCTCCATCCCTTACTGCATCTTAGAAACATGCCATTTCTAATTAAGCACCATGCCACAGTATTACTGGTACCGCTTCCAGAAACACAGCCTTTCATGGAACTATTCTGCTGTTTCTTTTACTGGGGGGAGAAAGGCGGCAGGTGGGTTTGCCCCTCTGCTTTATGAGAAAGTATTTTCCCTTAAAATGAGTTAAAATAGGCTTCCCAGTCCTCTGCCCCTATATTCCACACGGCACGCTCCCCCAGGACGCAGGTTTTATCACAGGCTCAAGAAGAAAATAATAGCAGGGCCTTGCCAAAATACCTAGGAGCAAATCACTGCATTATAAAGAAAATTAGAGTGTCCATGTAAATCAAGAATGCAATTACACAGCAGGGCCCGAAGGGCCTCGGTGCGTGAGGAGGACGCCTCTAACTCAGCGGGCTTTGTTCATACCGAGCTCCATACATCGGGGTTCAGGACGCGAATTAACATGCAAAGCTAAAGTAACATCCACGTTATAGTCTGGTTCGTATTATAATACAACAAGCTCCACAAAACTCTACCTGATTTAGGTAGTTTTGTAGTGCTAATTTATGGAAGAGAATGTATATAGCCCGCATTCCACCAAGTGATGGCCATTTCAAACAAACATGTGGTCAATGAATAACATATAATGGTTGATAATAGTTTCAAGTCTTTTTTCCTCTCACAAATTACAAAAACCTTTAAGTAAAAAAAAAAAAAGAATTGGTGCCTGGATGAAGTATGACTTTGTTAGTCGCTTTGCCAGTCAAATGAATGCAAACGTTATAATCAGGGAAAATCATTCCAATGAGGTTTGTCATTTGGAAATCACCAAACTGTCAGCAATTAAAAAACTTTTTTCTTTGACCCAAGAGCATTCCAAAATTCGGGAAAACCTAACTTCCCTTGAAGCTCTCGCTCGGTTTAGTTTTACTTCGAGTGAACAATTACTTTTAAAAATTTGCAAATGTTTCAGCAGCACGCTTTGAAGCAGAAAGCTGCAAGTTGTGCATCAGATGTTAGCAATGATTTGGAAAAGTTCTGCATTAATAGCGCTGAATGATATTTGACTGAAATGTTTTTAGGGTGTCCATGGGCTTAATAGGAATGCTATTTCCCACACAGCAAACTATACACAGAAACATCCCCAAAAGCTTAAAACAGCAATGCATCTGCAACCAGACTGCCTTCGTACAAACAACAGCAAGGGAAAAAAAATAGATTAAATTTATGAAGACCCCTCCCAGCTTCACATATGCTCTACCACTGTCTGTCTGTCCAGGCCAGGAACTCACCCACCTCTGTGTATACGCAGGTTACGCTGCACAAACACAATTCACTGATTCTGTGACAATAACCATCGCTCCAACAGAAGGCAGACAGAGCAAACTACGCAAGCAAAGAAGTCTACTAAATTAATCTGCTTTGCAGACCTTCCTTCAGGCTTTGTGACGACAAATCCTCCTGACCAGTGGACCACCAAACCCTCACCGATCAGTGGACCACCAAACCCTCAGCGATCAGTGGACCACCATGCCAACCCACTGCCTCTTCCCCTGCAGAGTTGAAAAAGTCTCCAGCTGGATAAAATGGACATTGGTCTTAAAACTCTCCATCTTCCTGAACAGTGCTCAATTTGGGGCTATCCAAGTCATAAAAAGGAATTAATCCTGGCGTGGAGGACCCTCCCCAGGACAGGTCCTGCTGCTCGTTGCTCCAGCTGACCACGACTGTCCCAGCCAGGGCCATCTGGTGTCACAGTGAAGGAGGAAGCACACACCCATGAGCCATGCCCGCCTTCGTGCATGCCCTGCTCTGCTCAGAGACGTTCTCTGTCACTGCACACTACTCAAAGCAACTTGCTTCTTGCATTTTAGTTTATTTTACTTATACACAAAAAGTATTTCCCACTAAGAAAATGAGCTACGGTTCTACTGAGCAATTTCACCAACGCAATCTCCATTAAGGTCCTAAATACTTCCTTTGCTAATTAAATGAATTGGGACGCTATTGTTTATGAATCACCTTCATATTTGTAGAGCCATAACCTTTCTTCAGGAAAACACAATTGGCTCTGGAAGGAAACGATATTTAGGTTTGATTAGATATGAAAACACTATTACATAAAATCAGTTTGGACATTTCTTCACGTCTTGAAACTTGATCGGTAATTTGGTCTAATTGGTGATCAAGGAAACTATCTTGTGATCAATTAAAGTAATTACCACATTCCGGCAACACAACCAACCTTAATTTGAGCAGGAGTCTGCACTTCTTCAACTTTAATTAAAAATAATGAAAATTATTATGCAGTCTGCAGTGCAAGATCATTGTCAAGATTGCACTGGTGGGCAGAGTTTATCAGACCATCACACATTTCTTGATGAAAGTGGGACAAGTACTTTACTCAGGACAGTAAGACCAACACAGCCTTAACTTTCACTATATTAATAACAGAGATCTGCAGCCTCTCGGCCACTAACGAAAACTTTTTCAGATTTTTCCCTTAAAAAATAAAAAGAGAGGAAAAAGAAAAGATTTGTGCATTTTCTAGAAACCATAAAGAAGTATTAAAAGAGGCTTTGTTGTATTAAATATTACAAAGTATTCTGATATTTCAGTAACAGGCATATTAGGCAGACATTTTCATGCTAATCCTTTTAGGACATTTGGGCTAAAATAACATCCAGACATACAGGTTACTCTAAATAAGCACATGGTGTCACCCAAGTGATGGCAGACTGCAGAGTCCCTGCGACGAGGCATGAAGAGCAACAGAAGCAGCAATGAGTGAAGCAACCCTGCACAGACACGGCGATGCCTTGGGTGCGCCAGTACGTTCTTCCCTTCATGTCTTTTAAGATCATGCAAGGAGGAACTAGAAAATACTGGAGTTTCAGTCAAAACATCACTTCTAAAACATTTTTTAAATACTAGCAGCCATTGTATGTCTCCATGAGATAAAAATCAGAGCTACCCCTAGAAGAACAAGTTAACCTAATAAAGTGAAAAAAAACAACCCAAACTTTAAAAAAATCAATGTTTCGGGCCTAGCCAAACTGCTTTTGCAAGTGACAAAATACGCTATCACAAAATAAGACTTAATGTGCCTCTTGTTGCCTGAGAATGGGAAAACCAGGGCCAGACATTTTGCTGTCAGCAGTGGGAGGAAAGCTGAAATTCCATCCGCCCCTCTGCACCGCACAGCGCTGCACGGCTCCGGCAGAACTGCGGGATCCCGGAGCTAATCTGCTATTATTCTTCCTTTCACACTTCTTAAGCAAGGAATCAATTCATCTTAACACTTTTTAAACACGCTGCTTTTGTACAATGCTTGCCAACATTATCTTGATGAGTTATACATCAAAGGAACACAGGTCGATATGTCGTGCTAATACATCACCCACCCGTGAGTCCCCGGTGATGGATTACCTCGGTGCATCTCCAGAACGGAGCAGCTGACAGTACTTGACTCAAAAGTGGAGATATTCAAGAAAAACAGCTGAAAGGCTCAACAACACAACGACGCACACTTTGTATTTATTTGTTTTAAAATGCGTACGCTATGAAGCGCGGACCCGGGCTTCTTAAATCCTTCGGACACTCAGCCAAGGAAACCATATGCTAATCACAATTTCTGCCTCCCATCTGTCATTATAATGCTGGAGGTAGCATTAACCTTGACCTTCTGCAGTGTGAGGGCTACCTGGCTTCCCTTCCCCACCCACCCAGGCTGCACCTCTATCATTTATCAGCGGAAAATGAAAAAATAAAACAAGTTATAGCGACATCGTCATGCAAGGCAAGAGATGACTACGCCTCACACATTTGCTTTCCATTCACCCAAATAAAAAATACCCGGCACGTAGCACGTGTTCTCCTTAGCAGTTTGACACTTAGAACAACAAACTCAACTCATTAAGGTTCACTTCCAAACTCAGAAGCTTTCACATACCCAGCTGACATTACTACCTAACAGTGAGCTACGGGCCAGCAGACAAAAAGGAAAAAGCTCTTTAATGTCGAGCTATTGTAAGTTATGTTTAGCTAGTCATGAGGGTTTAACTTAATCTCATGACATTTTCTGTTGTGCTCTCAAGAAAAATGCAGGGTTTCTTTTATTTTAATTCTATTTACTCCATTAAGAAAGACTTTTACCTTACAAATCTACAAAAAGCATCTCACAAGGCCACATTCTTCATCTGAAAGTCACAACGCGGTTAAAACACAAATAAAAAGAGGAATCCAACCGGTATTTAGGAAGGCGATGGCAGCACAGGAGGACAGGTATTCATCCTCAAAACCATGTGCCCATTTTGGGATTCTTCCCTGTTGGCATCATCGGCCTGCCTGAACCATCCCCAGGGACACTGGGTCCATGTGGCATTAGATATTTTCCTCTTTTCTTCTTTTTTCTTTGGCCCTGTCTGGATTCATCCACGACATAAACCAGGGGAACACCTTCCTATTGCTCTTCCCCTTTTTACTATCATTCCAAGAACAGCAGGACGGTCCTTAACAATGCCACCAAATCATGCCCCAAAACAGAGCTAAACTCAGGTTATTCACATCCCCATCTCTCCGGTGAGAGCCCAAGTCACGGCCAAGCTGGCTCAGGCATTGTGCCCACGTTTCCCTACTCCCTCCATCCCACCCCATCCAGGCATGGGCAGCCAGCA